GGCGGGGGGTGAGGTATACAACCCATTTCGCAGCCTAGTTTTTGCCCAAATCCAGATACATTCCCATTTTTTTGGGTTTTTTTGCGATTTCCCGTCCTAGTGACCCAAATCACATTTTTCCAGTGAAAATATAAGTTAATCCCTACACCAAAAGGATCCCCTGTACCATTCCTCGCTCTTCTCTCCCTATCATGGCATCTTTCTCCAATCTTTACATAATATAACCTGCCTCCACGAGAGCACATAAGTTTACACTCGAGAAGCAAAATTTACGTGTACCAAATCTCCGACATAAATGATCAGATTTTACTCCCAACCTTTCACTAGGCGTCTTATCAGAACGAGTGTTTTAAATATTCTTTTTTCTGCCAAACTGGTCGCTGGAAATTTACAAAATGTGAACGGTTTAAAGTTGTACTGAGGACGAAAATAATGATAATAATTCTAAAACACAAATTTATATCTACCCAGGATTTGCTGTAATCCGCCGAAATGAAAGCGAATATCTCGACCAAACGAGTACGGCTCATTATATTTGTCATGTTTTAGGATCGATCAAAATTACTGAACAATAGCGGCTCTACAACTTCGAAGGATTAAAATGTTGTTTATAATTCAAAATAGTCGAAGGCGAGGATTGATTTAAAATCACCTTTGAAAACAGTTATATATACATCGTAAATTCTCAAAGCTGCCTGCCCAATCAAACAGCTAAAATTACAATTAAGGAATTAATAGATACCTGTATGTTCTATAGAGAAACTGAACTTATTTAGTTCGTTTAATATCGACCGATGGAAGAAAGACTCGATAGTAAGCTACCATATTTAATAGCACATTGTAAACAAGTGACGGTAGTTTCTGTTGAAAATGTGTGCTCTTCTTTCAAATACAGCGGTAAAGAACAGTCGCTAACAACTTACCTGAGTTTTGCAAGGCGTGAAATCGCGAAATCGTGAAAATTAGTCAATCCAAAGCAAAAAGATCCTAGGTAATAAATGTATTGATGTCTTGTGTTAAGTACAAAGTGCCAACTGGTATTTTCAACCAATCCGAGTCTCTCTCAGAGCTTGTCACGCTACTTCCGGTTTTTCTCGGAAAAATGTTCATAATTTCTAGAAATCTAATCCGTCACTTGGGATAATAATATAGCTGAACAAAATAATCTCGAGCTTATAATGCTTTCAAAGCGCTAAGAAGTTTCCAAAAAATCCATTTTTAAACATTTTATGGACATTTATAAGGACCTGGACCATGTTATCGCCTTAGTTTTCAATTTTCTAGTTTCAATTGCTAGACTTGATTCGATGCTTTCCTTTTTAATATCTTAGTGTCTCATATTTTAGTTTTTTATATTGTCGTTGCCGGCATCTTTGAGAAACTTTCCATATTGTTAATTTTTACTGTTCATCTTTTTATTCTGTAAATATTTATATGAGGGCCACTGGTTTTTCACTCCTTCCGTCGTTTCATTTGTTCGCCCATTGGTCGATCATCATTGATCATTTCATACGCATTCGTAAGTTATGAAGATGACAGATTAAACAGTCTTAAAGTGCACAGTGTTTTAATTTATATCTACTAGGTAAACAAAGACCAAGAAAGGACTGTTCGCAAGAATAAGAAAAAAATATTATGTCACCATTTTCTCTTAAATATGATATATGCTTTTGATAGTTGTCGACCTAAAATATAAGCACATGAAAAAGATGCTATTCTAAGAGTTTTCTGTAAATCATTTTTACGGATTTACTCACAGTGTAATTTCAGATTCGAGGTATCTTAATCTCGGATAAAATCACGAGCGCTTTTATAAATTAAAACTAATTGATTTGTTTAGTTAATTAATTAATTAATTAATTAATTGATTAGTCAATCAGTTAATTAGATGGCGCCCCATGTCAATCAAAATTACCAGTGTTTTGTTCAAAACGTCTGCGAATCTCTAAAAACCTTTCGGTGATATTTTTCAAGATGAAGAAATGTCGCTTAGCAAAGTTCGCACGAAATATCCTAAGGTAAAAAAATACTCATAGCATAAGACAGTATAAGCGCATGTTGACTTGACATGTTCTTGTATGTTCACTGTTTCTATTACGCTTGGTTTATACTAATGGAATTACGACATGGACCGATAAGATAAAATCTGTTTTACGCTTTTAGCATTCTGTTCCTCCTATGCCATTATGTTGCATTGTTCAATAATAAAATCCCTGTTTTGCGGTTTCTAATTTTCTTTCCTATTTTTCGTTCTTCATTTTCCCTGCCAATATCAGTAATTTTCTTGCCCTTTTATTTCTTTTCTGACGTCTTCTTCGTCTCCATCCGGCTAAGCCCATCCATTGCCTCATGCGGTTCAGGAGAGATTGACCGCTCAATCGATATAAGGTTGTGTGTATAGTATATATCCCTTTGATGAGATAGAAAACTGATCTTCAGTTAGGCATATGCGATCGTAGGTTCTGGGGTCTCAATTCCAGGCTTCGAAATCGTTTTCTTTCTCCGATTGTTATCTTTTAAGAGATCTTAGAAATGAAAAACTGTGTTCGGGTTGGAATCACTATACCACAAGGACAGCGGCGCGTCTCGTCAGATCAACCAAACTCAGCCCCCTAAGGCTGGGTTCCTACTTGGTTGGGTAACCAAATACGAATACTTCATGTTGTAATTATTTAACTTCTTCATTTTCCCTTTTCGTTTTCTTTTTTCTTCCCTTTCCAAGACGATACCAGTGACTGCAGAACACCCAGAGCCGTGAAATGTCTTTTCTGCTAGTCACCAACTATTTGTTCATATTATTTCGCCATATGTCCACAGTTTAATATTTTCTGTAACCCTGGAATTCCGTGTAAATAAAAGCGATACGCATCGTTCGAATTCTCCTCAGTTCTCCTGTCCGCTTCTCTTCTATAAAGTTTTATCACGCCTTGAATCACTCGGAAATTCATACAGCTCATCAATTTTGTGATTTTCAATATCTTATTTTTCGGTAGTCGAGTACAGCCAAATCTGCATTAAGCGGAGACCAACAACAACAACAATCCTTTATTTAAACACGATTTTGTTTAAAGCAACAGGTTGGCTTGTGGAGTCTTGCGTCTAGCTTAAAAATTTAAAACAACATAAATATGTACAGTACCTTCGAGATAAGCGCTATTTTATGAGGATAACGAAGCTCATCAACAAGGGGATATTGTCTTGCTTTATCACCAAATTCTCAGAAAGAATATTATTTCGTATAGTGTGATCGTCCGGGTGAGTGTCGTTCTGAAAAGAACTGTTGTTGGTGACTGACGTTTCGACAACCTGAGCGGAAGTCATCTTCAGAGTCAAG